TGCCACGTTCGCCCACGAACATACAGTCAATTCACTTTACAGTGTGTTCTGTGAAGCGCTTTGGGACGTCCTCCCGACGTGAAAAGCGCTATATCAAATGCAAGGATTATTATTATTATATGCAGATCCTTTTTTTGTTCTCATTTAAATGAAGAATAAAATCTTGTGCGAGCTGGATACCACCACCACTGAGATCTGTGAAGTCGTCCCAGACCTGAGCTTGAACCTTGGATGTTCTGCTCTGTAACCAGCTACTGACTGAATACATTTACTGAGCTGCCCGATAGGGTCAAAACCGGTTTGCACTAAATGATCATTCTGAATAAACATTTACCTACTGTACTTATATAAGTGCCTTTCAATTTGGATTATATCTCTAAGCACTTTACAAAGACTGAAAAGGGTAAAGGGTTTGAGAATGTTGACCTAAAACATTGTCAAAAATAGATTTTTAAGAGACTTTTGAAGGCAGGGAGAGAGGGCCAATTGCTTTATAATCATTTTATGCTATTAAATAATTGTTTTAAATGGGATTGGAAAGCATTTTGTACTCTAATCTTGTTTTGCAAATAGTTTTTGCATTAATATCTAGAATATTAATTTTGAAAAAAACTGATATTTACACCTATTGAAGCAAAACTCCAGAAAGCAGTGGTTGTATCTCTGAGACATATTATCCTCTACTCGTCTTGTCATTATGATTGTTGTTTACTATGGATAAATTCAAATTTTGCTGCTAACGTTTAAGAAACGATCTGGATTCTATTAAAATGGAGTGTGTTACTTGTAATATTCTAGAACGAGATATTATCATTACTATAATCATTGTATTTGATGTAGAACCTTATCACATTGAAATGCCTCAAAGCGCTTCACTGAATTTTCTGTAATGTGCAGTGATGAATTTGTAGAGTTTGTACATGAATGTATATTGAGTATATACAGAAATGAACTGAAAGATCTTAATCTAGAAAATGAATTAGTTTCTCAATTTCGACGATGAGTCAACGGTTCCTGTGGCAACCATTTAGCCACGTGGGACAGTGTCTGCTGTTACAAGGAAACCATTGCAGGAATGGTATAATCTCGGTGATTCTCTATGCATCCATTTTGTGGAGAATAACTAATCGGGTGAAATTTAAACAGCTTCTAAGTATCCCCAGCATAGTTTCATTTTGCCCAGATTAAATTTTGTCTGAAAATAGGTGCAATGCAAGGTTAGTTTTTATTACTCTTAGGTCTTTAGAGGGTTTTTTTTGGTCAGGGAGGTGGGGCCTGACACATGTGTGAACTCATTAACATGTTTTTTAAGAAATTCCAAACTAAACTAATGAGAGTTCCACATAAGTGGAAATTTCCCTTTATTTGGAATGGAATGCACACCTTGTTTACCTAATACCAGAAGGTATTACGTGCAGGTTTAATCTGAAAGAAGTTTAAAACATAACATGTCCCCTCTCATTGTGTCTGTATTAATATCTTTGAAATACAATACAACTTTTTNCCACCTCCTGTAAATTTTGGTCCTGTTAGAGCTATAATCTTATTTCCTGTATCTTTCCTCCCTTCCCCCCAAAACTGCATGCAAACTCTTTAAATGAAGATACTGTATTATTTTTCTGGATTAATTTCTGAACAAATTTTAATTTGAGATTCTGTTCAGTTATATAAAATCAGGTTGGAGAATCCTTTGTAATTTGACCCGACAGTGATAGCTGGGACGCTATTGCTGTGGCAGAGAAGATCTCTGATGTATAGTACTCTTTAATAAGGAAACTGCTAGTATGTGGAATGGACTTTGGGTTCCCAGAAGAGTTGGCACTTAAACCTTATTAAGAATCCCATTAGAAATGACTTTATTATTGTGTGCTATTGCTCATAAAATACGTTTACACACATTACTTTTCAGTATATCCTGTGAAGCACTTGTGAGATGTCGTGACAACATGATAAGGCTCTATATCAAATGCAAGGAAATATTGGTCCCCATTGAGTTTTGTTCAGTCACTAAGATTACATAGTACATTAGAATTTGGCCGCCCTCAATAAAAGCATGTCAGAAAATTCTGCTGGTCAGCCAGATACGAGAGTAAACTGTTCGTTTTCTTATCAGAAATGACTAATTTACTATCTTATCAATGCAGAAAAATATGCGCTAGATTTGTAATGGAGAAAGAAGTGCTTTATAAAGTAGTTTTGCGCAGTTGCAGCTTCACCTCTTGCTCTGTTTTATGGTGCAGAACAGTTTCACCAGCAGGAGGGGAGAATTCTCTGTACAGTAGTTGCCAGAAACTGCATAGATTCAAACAGTACAGAAGGAGACCATTCGGCCCATCGTGTCTGTGGCGGTTCTTTGAAAAGAACTATCCAACCCAATTCCATTCCCCCACTCTCTCCCCATAGCTCTACAAACTTATCTCATTATTTGGGGCACGCTGCTGTTGAACTGTTGAAGCCTTCTATTCCGGCCCCTTCCAAAAAAAAAAGTGCTTTCCGGGGGCCTTGCCAATGCCCCATATCTCTGTAATTCAGCATAAAACTAGCCAAGGAAAAATATTAAACTGAGTTTAGTTGTTAAGCTGACTTCTCCAATTAAAAAATGTTTACGATTGTAAAACTTCCTGGTTCATGGGCAGGACTTGGACAGGCAGGACTTGGAAGGGCAGACCAGTCATTGGGGCAAGTAATCCTCCCACACAGCTCCTGTTAACCCTGCAACCCAAAGCCCTATCGGGTAGGGTGGTCCTAGCTGGATAAGCAGTGGGAAAGCTTGCCAAACAGTACTATTAATACCAAGCCATGCAGTTTCAGTTGGTTAAACTCTAGCCGTACCCCAAAACACTCTCTGGGGTCCCCAAGCCTTGGCTCTTGCCAACCTGCGCCTAATACTTCCGGAATTAGGTAAGCAGGATGTATCCTTCCAGGGAGAGTGTGCATTCCATTCCAACAATCTCTCTGGAATTTTGATTGGAGATGGGATGCATGGAATTCTTGGCGGGGGGAATTGTGCACAGTGGTGTTGCCTGTGCAGCAACACTACTTGCTTCTAAAACTAGTAAAATTAGAAGTTTATATTTCAAATTCTGTTATGTCTTGTTTTTCAAAAAGTTTAAGAAAATGATGATGATAATAATTCTTGTTTTGAGATAGAAGCTTATCACATCTTCGACATCGTCAAAGCACTTCACAGAATACACTATAAAGTGAATTGACTCTATATTTTGTGGGAGAAGTACACAGCCAATTGCATACAGCAGTGTCTCACAAACAGTCGTGTGGATTGAGTGACCAAATCATTATTGTTTTTTTTAAGGCATTATTACCCCTGGGAAAACGATCTTCCAACCGACTAACAACCGGGTTCTTATCTACTCTGGGTAAACAGAGATGTGTGGAGTAAGGAAACTTGTCTAACTTTTCGCCTCACCCGGGAATTGAATCCAGGTGCTCTCGCTTGCAAGTCAAGTGCTCTGACCACTAAGAAACAGGACTATGATGACTGCAGTAGGCCCTTCTGTGCATTCTCCGAACTGATTTGATGGACAGGCTTCTGCCAGGAGTAACATTATTTTTCTGTGAGGGTGGGGGCTGGGGGCTGTGGATGGGGGTCACTTTGCTGATGTGCACTTATATAGTAATAGGAAATTCTTTAATCACAAATATTGTCAAAATGCATCACATGGAGCATCCTGATCAGAACTGAAGAAATGTTCAGTCCTGCATTGCCTTTGAATTGACTAATGGGAGGACGATAGGGTAGGTGTTCTGCATTGATGAGATCAAATGGGCCAAAGTGCCTTCTTCATCCAAATCTCTTAGGATCTGCGATCTGGTTAAAGTTGGCATATTTTATCAGATTTAAGCTTGTATGTTTTTTCAGAACTTGATGGATCTCATTCTAGTGTGTGTTTTATTTGAAAAAAGTACTGTAAAAGAAAAATAGTGCTAAGGGCTAGCAATAGTTAATTCCCAGCGGTTGTACAGCGATATATTCTCTCAGCCATCAGTTCTGCAATTGAGACAGTAACTATTTGAGGAATTCCTTGTTATTTCTTTGTGTCATTGGCAGCATAATGGCTGCAGGGTAAAGATAGCATATTGAAATTTTTTACGTTTTATATAAACAAATTATTACCGGTACAAGAAACCACTTTTTATATTTCTGCATTCAAAAAGAGGCCGCTGTCAGCTCTCCTCAGTCAGTAGATATTGGTCAGCCGGAGGCTGGTAGCAGTTGCTCTGTGTAAGTTTCTGAGTGCGTATTTGCAGACCTTTGTAGTCGTTACAAACTTCCCTGAAGTGCTCTCTAAACCTCCTGGTGAGGAAGGTAAGTCGGGCCCGTGTCATAATAATAATAATAACCCTTGCATTTGATTTTGTGCCTTATCACGTCTTCAAGACGTCCCAAAGCACTTCACATAATATACCGTGAATTGACTGTATATTTTGTGAGCGAAAGCAATAAGTACTATTGCTGAGTATATTTTTAAGCCACTGCTGAATAGCTCTGCCAATGTTTCAGCAAGGTTATCCATACAGACTCCAGCCTGCGTGATATTATCTGATCTGAGTTGGGGTAACACAAAGGGGAGGCACAGCCTCTCCTTTTCCCTTCAGTTTCTCTCTGCCCCCTCCTCCCCGCCCGTCCCCCCCACCCCCCACTGAGTGGAAAATCACTGCACCTTCTTGCTTCTCTCTTCTTTCCCTCCCTGTTTCCCTCCCTCCAGCCCTCCTTTGGGTCAAGTAGATGCTAACATACACTGTCCAGACTTAAGATGTGAGTAATACCCACTTGGGCAAAGATACCAAAGGATTCCCCCAACACCAGTGGAGCTGCACTGAAGTAGATGGACCAAGGATTGGAGAGAAGATTGGTCATATGGGGGTGGATGGTGGGACACTATTGCACACAATTTGAGTTTTCTTTTGGATCCTCTTTTGTTGCACTGTATGTTAAGCTCATCTAATTCAGTGATTTTCTCCCCCCCTTTCTTCCAAAGTACTGCAATGGTGTTGATGTGGACGAGTGGTGATACTTTTAAGACTGTGTACTTCATCCTAAATCAAGCTCCTTTCCAGTTTTGGATCTGTGGATTACTACAAGTTTTCGTCGATATTGCCATCCTTTTCCAATCTTACTACTATGACCGTTACCCTCAGAAACCATCGTCCCACACGGTCCCTTCCACCAATACCAAGGCACTTTAAACAGAGAGCTGTTCAACAAACACACCAAACCATCAACCAACCCATCGAAAGCACATTGAAAGCCCCGGACTTCAAAGTGACAAGTTGAATCTCAGCCTGCTGGAACAATTTCAAAAACTCTTACAAATAAGAGGCTTTAAAAGCTGTAAAGGGGATTTTTTATCTGCCTCTTTCACACCAATATTTTCGGAGTCGATTTGCTTGCATATCTGTTTTCTGGAGTTAAGTGTTTTTTTCCATCTGAAAATTCTATCTTGGATTTCCTTGCTGATCAATATCACTAGTGCAACCTAGTGTTCTATGATGCCAGATTCTGAGATGTGAAGTCGGGTTTTCATTCATTCTTTGAAGTAAACATTCAAAGAGTGAGCATCACTAAGAACGATTGTAAACCATTTGAAAGAAATATGATTCTCTTTAACATTTAAGCTGCAATATAGCTCTTCTGTTCTCCTTTCTTTTCCCCTCCCTCAAAAGGGCTTATTTCAAGGATATATTCCTCTTTGTGATGGGAGGATTAATAATAATATATAATAATAATACTTACATTTGATATAGCGCCTTATCACATTGTTGAGATGTCTCAAAGCGCTTCACAGAATATACTGTAAAGTGATTTTTGTGGGCGAAATATGGCAGCCAGTTTAGCAAACAGCAATGTCCCACAAACAGCCATGGAGTGAGTGACCAATTTTTTATTTGGCAGATTGTTGGCCAGAAAACTGGGGGAAACTTCTTTTTCTTTTCGAATAGTGCCATGGATTCGAATAGTGCCAATAGTGGATCTTGTAACATGCACCTGAACAAGCAGAAGGGACCTCGGTTTAACATCTCATCTGCAAAACAGCACCTCTGACAATGAAACCATCCCCACCTCTGAGCACTGCATTGGTGTATGGGCTCTCTGTTGCATTTTGGAAGTCCACTGATGTCCCTGTTCCATGTCTTCTCTAGTCTTTCATCAGTATTTATTGATAGTTAATCTGAGCAATGAATGTTTAACCCACAAAACAATGGTGAAGAATAGAAATTACATTGAATTAAATTGGTGCTAGTTCTTTCACTCCAGTTAAAACAACAACAAGATTACATTTGTACAGCGCCTTTCACGTCGGGAGGACGTCCCAAAAACTCTGCATTCCCCCCAAAAAAGAGGTCTGGGAGCACACTGGCCACCCACTCAGTCAGTCAGTCAGGGATAATGGGTGGAGATCCCAGAAAGAGGAAGAAAGAGAAAGTGCCTTAATAAGAGGAAATTTCATCCTCGCAAAAATAATTTGGATTATTTTAAGTTTTCAAAAAAGGGACAATGAAGGTAGAGTCATCTTTTATTAAGATGGAACATAATGAGACTACAGAGTCCTGTAGATCATGTTAATGCCCTTCCCTTTCACTAGGTTTTTATTAAGTGTTCCAATCACATGATTAATTGCTACAGCAATGCCTGAATGGAGCAATTTTTTAAATCCCCAAGAGATATAACGCCTTTGGTAGTGATTTGTGCTCTCTCTAGCCCACGTCTACTTGCTTATAAATCTAAAATGTGAGGAAGCTTTGCTACATTGGATGAGCAAACTGGCGTATGCCATTTAGAAACTTTTTATTTTCATTCCCATTTAGTGCTTGCTGTACACAGACAATTCCCCAGGTGTCCTGCATTTAAACAAACCACACATTGATGATATAATTGCTCGAGGGCAACATCCCCTCATGTTTCTCTCTTTCATCTTGCTTTTGCTTAATGTGCTCCTCATACACTGAGTGTCTGACCTCAGTCAGTCTACCTGGGGAATCAGGAGTACAAAGATGCTGCCCAACATCTGGTTTGATTTTAAAATATGCTTTGTTAATCTGAATATAATTTATGATTTGTCCCGATTTTTTTTCTTCCATAATATTCACTGTCGTCACCAAAAAGTCTTTTTTCTTCACATTGATGTTGAACAAGGAATTGGTCATTGGTGTCTATGAATCCACTTTGAAACTACTGTAGTGTCTGATTCTGTGATACGGTATAGATTGCATGAGAAAATTAGTGTATGCCATTTAGAAACCTTTTGTTTTCACCCCATTTAGTACTTCCTGTACCGCACAAAGCTCACTGTCTCAGTTTATTGCCAAACATCTCACTTGAGTTTCTCCTATTTGTTTTTTTTGTACAAACGCCATTGAGATACCAAGGTTTATGAGATTGCTGTTATCTGAACTTGTAATTTTTGTTCATGATTTTGGCCTGTATTGTTAAATCGGTTTGGAATTTGTTCCTGTTTGACATGCTTGCAGGATATCACAAAGCTATCACAAAATGTATTTGTTACATTAAAATAGTAACACATTACAAACCCATTTAGAATGGTGAGTGGGCATGTCAATCAAATCTGTAAATATGTGTTATTTTACTGATAGTTGGATGTTTAACTAGAAGTTTGAATGTTTAATCTTTAGTTTGGGTGGCAGTGCTCCTACTAATGAGAACTGTCTCCAGAGATGAATTTTGCTTTCAAACCATTAATCTCCTTATTCATTCAGGAACGATTCACATCGTTGTAACTAAAACATGTCACTTGAGTGGTGCTTGTTCTACGACAGATTTGATCTTTTGCTTTGGGCCTAAGTGACCTTACAATTGAGAATATGCCATGTAAATATTACAGTATTTCTGTTTCTAGGCAGCTTGATCTATCATAAATGTGTTCAGGCTTAACAGATATTTGTTTCCAAAATAACCAAGGAGATGCAATGCATTGCAGACTCTGCTCTCTGTTGAATTATCAGATTTTCATTTTGTTAAATGTTCTTTGACGATATGAAGGAAGAACAGTTGTACAAGTTGGGAACACTTCACCATTATTCACTTTCACTCTTTTTCATTCTCACTTCACTTTTGTTCTTATTCCAATTTCATTCTATTTTTACTCTCGCTGTTCATTTTCACTGTGGTTCTTATTCCCACTTCTAGTGAGCTCGCTTGTGCAGGCTGTCACTTCTGTAAAACTGAATGACATTGACTCATCTTATGGCCCAAACTTTGAGCTTGGGATTTATTGTACCCTTGGACTAAATTCAGTTGAAAAAGGGTGATTATTTTTGACTGTTCTTCAGAGTTCATAGTGCCGCCTGCTCAGTTATCAGGAAAAAGGGAGAGTCTCACACATGCCAACTTTTTGGTCCAAGTATAAAGCTGAACTGCATAATGTTTACAAAAAGTATTTATTTCAGGTTCAGTGTGCTGGATTCAGAAGTGTTTCCCATGCAAATACAGTCAAAGCAGCATCTCAGAATATTGTACTTCATAACTGTTTATTTCTGGCTGCTATAGGAGCAATAGTATCAGAAATGTATTTCTGATGTTCACCTACATTTTTGTGTAAGAATATGTTTTAGATTTATTGTTTAGCTTTTGTTATTGTGAGGAACTTACTTGGTATTGAAGATGAGGACTTGAGTTATATTCCTGTTTTATGTCACACTCTCCCCAACCCTCCTCAAAAAAGAGCTTATTGCCCAAACAAGGTATTGTTTGACCAGCAAAGAGTAGTTAACTCCGGCCATCCTATTACTTTGAGGGTATTGCTGTTTTCCTTTTCATTCGCCCATAACAATATGATTCTTTAATTTCTAATGCACACCTTCAGAGAAGGAACAAGAGAAACCAAACAGGAGATTAAGGGACTAGTGATCAAAATACTAATGTTTCTGTCATTTTAAATATCCTTGTATTAACTTGAGCATTGTATTAACTTATGGGAATAAATAATTGGGTGTGTAATAAGTGGAAAAAATCAAAACCACTGTTATTAGTTGAATTTTTTATAAATTTCCACTTTAGAACTTTTAGTCATGGGCTTGCGGGCAAATTTCCAGTCAAGGGTATAGGTGCAAATATTGGGAGAAAAATGAAAAAAGTAGCTGTCAGTCATACAGAATATATTTTGCATTAAGTCTTTAATGTACTTCGTTTGGAAACGCCATTGTTGATCCTCCAGTCCTCAAAAACACATACACATTGCGCACTTCCACACTGCCTGATGGAGTGTAAATGATGCTGGCATGACATCTTGTACCAGTGTCATTTTTTTTAAATTGTGAAGTGATAAATTTACTGTTCACTGAAGGGAACAACTCACTAATCACAAGTCCTGAACTGGTGACAACTTGCTGACAAACACTTTTTACTTCTGTGTTTTTACAGACTGGCACCTGCAAGCATTAATGTGTCAAAAAGATACATTGGGATTATTGACCCCATACATGCAATATAACGTCACCTATTTCTTACTTTCAAAGAAATTCTGCTTATGGTAGTATTTCAAAGCAAGGGAGGTCACAATGCTTTTTGATTGTTTGATGTAATAATTTATTCATAGTTCCAGCCATATTGTTTATCCATGAATCATTATAATTGAATAAACTGCTAGACATACACCATTGATACTGGGTGTGATTGTATTTTATGTTCTGGTTCAATTGCAGATATGTAGCTTTAGTCCTTAGTGGTTTTCTCATGAGATATTTTAAACATTGCAGAAGTGCACTCATGATAAATTCCCAGAGACTTGAATAAAAGTGCACCCTGGGATTAAATGCCAAATTGAAATCATTACAATTTGGCGTTCTGCACACAAAATACACAGTCACTACATTTTACAGTATATTCTGTGAAGCGCTTTGAGACGTTTCGAAGATGTGATAAAGTGCAATATCAAATACAAGGATTATGATTATTATTTCTGCTCAACATGTATATTTGCATTAATAAGATACTTTTACTGCACAATTATTTGAGTTTTACCTGGTTCTGTTTTTTTAAACAATCCACAATAAATTGCAACAGTCTTGCAGTTTTTTATGGATGTTGTGAGACAAGTGATATATGTTAGCATTACAAAATACTGATATAGGAAGTTGTTTTTCAAACTATGAGGGTGCTGATTAAGAAAACTTCATTAAAGTATTGCAGACTGCAGAGATTCAGGGAACAGTTCCGCAGCATGTGGAAACCCAGCTTTCAAAGGGAGACTGAATTTAAAAACGTTCCAAAATTCTGCTCAATCACAAATGACAATCGGCAACACATTGGATGGGCCCAACAATCTCTGGCAGTGCTGTTTTTTGATGGGCATATTTGTGGGATCTGTAAGTCGATCAGTATCCTGTGAAGTGACGCAAATAATCTGGACCACAGGTTGGAATCCAAGATGTGAGGTGAAAAATTAATTCCTACCCAACCACTGTACTAAAGTCAGGTTGCGGAGAATGGGAGGTTAGTTCTGTGACATGAGGAACAGATGAAGAAAAAGTGATGTTTCGCAACCAAATTCAATAATTATCAAATCTGTTATCAAATATAGCATGTTTATCCCCCTAGCATCTGATCTATTGAATAAAATTGAGATGCTTTTTCAAAGGTACTCAACGTGTTCTCGAAGTGTGGAAGTGAGTATATTATTCTGGGCAGAGGAGTTGATCACCTCTAGTTCTTCATATCAGATTGCAAAGAACATCTGTGCCATCACAGCAGTCAAATCAAATAGGCCAGTGCTCT